TCCCTTCCCTCTACCAGAACACTGTGGGCACCTACTCCCTTCCCTCTACCTGGTCACTGTGGGCACCTACTCCCTTCCCTCTACCAGAACACTGTGGGCACCTACTCTCTTCCCCCTTACCGGGTCACCTTCTCTCGTCCCTCTCCCAGGTCACTGTGTGCATCCCTCTACCAGGTCACTGTGGGCACCTACTCCCTTCCCTCTAACTGGTCACTATGGGCACCTACTTCACTTCCATCTACCAGGTCACTGTGGGCACCTACTCCCTTCCCAGGTCACCTTCTCTATTCCCTCTACCAGGTCACTGTGGGTACCTACTCCCTTCCCTCTACCAGGTCACTGTGGGTACCTACTCCCTTCCCTCTACCAGGTCACTGTGGGCACCTACTCCCTTCCCCCTACCAGACCACTGTGGGCACCTACTCCCTTCCCTCTACCAGAACACTGTGGGCACCTACTCCCTTCCCTCTACCAGGTCACTGTCGGCACCTATTCCCTTCCCTCTACAGGAACACTGTGGGCACCTACTCCCTTCCCTCTACCAGAACACTGTGGGCACCTACTCCCTTCCCTCTACCTGGTCACTGTCGGCAACTATTCCCTTCCCTCTACCAGAACACTGTGGGCACCTACTCCCTTCCCTCTACCTGGTCACTGTCGGCACCTATTCCCTTCCCTCTACCAGAACACTGTGGGCACCTACTCTCTTCCCCCTTACCAGGTCACTAAGGGCACCTTCTCTCTTCCCTCTACCAGGTCACTATGGGCACCTACTCCCTTCCCTCTACCAGGTCACTATGGGTACTAACTCCCTTCCCTCTACCAGGTCACTGTGGGCACCTACTCCCTTCCCTCTACCAGGTCACTATGGGTACTAACTCCCTTCCCTCTACCAGGTCACTGTGGTCACCTACTTCCTTCCACCCTGGGGGTCACTGTGGGCACCTACTTCCTTCCCTCCACCCCCGGGGTCACTGTGGGCACCTGGACCTTTTCCTCCACCATGGAGTCACTGTGGGCACCTACTCCCTTTCCCTCCACCCTAGTCACTGTGGGCACCAGTCGCTACCAGTCTCCCCCACAGCCAGCCTCCATGCAACCCCCCAGGTCGGAGCTCACTCACCATTAAAACTTTGGCAGCGCTCTCCAGCTGGGCGATCACTTCACTCGCACCCAGCGCCGCCATCATGGGCTCTGTTCAATGACGCGCCACGCGGTGCAGTGTGGGATAAAGCGGGGAGCAGAGCCAATGGCGGGCCTGGGGGAGGGAGTCGGGGCTCAGTGCTGTCCTTCTCCGCCTCCTATACACAAGAGTCGGCAGAAGTTTGGCGGAGGGGAACGGGCGGCCCCGTGGAAGATGGCCGGGCTGACAGGGAGCGGGTCTGCCGGGGTCACTGACCTCCAGGACATGACAAATCCGATTTTTAACAATTTAAAGTGTTGCTGTACGGAATGGAGGCGGACATCTTGTGGGCTGGGACAATGTGGTGCACACACAGGGGGGTGCCAGGTATGTGAGGTGACCCAGCACTGCTTCACCCGAGCCAGAACAAGACATGGAGAACGCAGCTCGGAATTTACCTCAGTTTATGGCGCCATTCCTCACACAAACTTCCAATTCACAGTACTACAGATTACATGAGGAGATGTATGTTTTGTATAAAATGGTTATTTATCCCCCAGTCACACCTGAGCACCATCTGTATATCGTGACAACGTGGAATATGGAGAATCTCAATATTTACAATGGTGCCCCCAGTCACACCTGAGCGCTATCTGTATATCGTGACAACGCTGAACATAGAGAATCTCAATATTTACAATGGTGCCACCTGTCACACCTGAGCCCCATTTGTATATCATGACAGCGCTAAACATGGAGAATCTCATTATTTACAATGGTGCCCCCAGTCACACCTGAGCCCCATCTGTATATCATGACAACGCTGAACATGGAGAATCTCATTATTTACAATGGTACCCCCAGTCACACCTGAGAGCCATCTGTATATCGTGACAACGCTGAACATGGAGAATCTCATTATTTACAATGGTGCCCCGTGAGCACATCTGTATATCGTGACAATGTGGAATATGGAGACTCTCAATATTTACAATGGTGCCCCCAGTCACACCTGAGCCCCATCTGTATATTGTGACAATGCTGAACATGGAGAATCTCATTATTTACAATGGTACCCCCAGTCACACCTGAGAGCCATCTGTATATATCGTGACAACGCTGAACATGGAGAATCTCATTATTTACAATGGTGCCCCCTGAGCACATCTGTATATTGTGACAATGCTGAACATGGAGACTCTCAATATTTACAATGGTGCCCCCAGTCACACCTGAGCCCCATCTGTATATTGTGACAATGCTGAACATGGAGAATCTCATTATTTACAATGGTGCCACCTGTCACACCTGAGCCCCATCTGTATATCGTGACAGCGCTGGACATGGAGAATCTCATTATTTACAATGGTGCCCCCAGTCACACCTGAGCACCATCATAGTTTTTTAAGAGTACCTGTACCCCTGTATGTTACAGTCTCTGATGAAGGTATCTGATTGATTTTTGAATGATTCAATACTCTCTGCTGATACCACTGCTTGTGGCAGTGAGTTCAAAAATGTAACCGCTCTTGAAATTTGCTGAACTCAAATCTCGTTTACACACGGTGTTTGTGTATGACAAAATGTCAGCAAAACTTCATGACACTATGCACGTCTTCGAACGTATCTGGAACACCTGGATCAGAAAATGCCTTCCTCCTCATTTTGATGCTAGCCTGATCCGATCGTAAGGCCTTGTCTCTCCACAACCGATCAATCCTATTGATATATAATGGTTGATAGCAGACATGTGCGATTCGTTTCGTTCCGAATCCAAATTCGGACGAAATTTCGGAGATTCGGATGTATCCGAATTACACATATAACGAATGCATCCGAATTTCCGATTCCAACATTCGTTAGCGGTAGTCTGGACGAAGTTTCGTTTGTTTGGACGAAATTTTGTTGCAGCAAAAGCGACATTTGAGAAAGAAAAATGTTTTCCCCCTCAAATGTCACTTTGCTGCCACGAACAAAACAAAATGACGTACGGACTACCGCTAACGAATTTTGCACGAATACAAATCCCGCGAGGAATTGACATACCCGAACATGAAATAACGCAAAATCCGAAACAAAACTAAACACATTTTTTGCCGGTGCACATCTCTAGTTGATACTGCGTCTGGGACCCTGTTCTATGTCCTCTCTCTCTCTACTCTTGCATTTCCTTTACTCTTCACTTTCCTCACTAGTTTTATTTTATTTCCCTTTCTCTTTTTTCTTCCCCCTCCTACCTAGAGATGTCCAGATACCACTTTTTCAGGACCAAGTACAGGTACTTCCCCTCATGTACTTGCCGATACCAATTACCGATACTTTTTCTTAAAGGGACAGGTGACTTTAAATTACCCATAGTACAACTACATGTTATGTACTGTGGATCATGATTTAACTTATTCATGTTAGCAGGGGAGAATTGTTAATCTATTGCTGGAGTGTAGTGGAGGTGTGTGCTGTATATATGTACTACATATACATTACACACGTCCAGTACACTATAGCAATAGATTTACAGCCAGCCCTGTCCCAGCTTCCCTCACTCACAGTTTCACTCCGATCCCTGTTGCCTCACAAGGTGCCTCTCGAAGTCGGCGATGGGCAGGATCGCTGCATCGCATCTCGGTGCTCAGCTTGTGGTAGGCGCTCGCAATTCTGCCCTGCTCATATGAATAGGTTAAATCATGATCCATAGTACATAACATGTAGTTGTACTACGGATCATTTAACCCATTCATGTTAGCAGAGGATCATTGTAAATCTACTGCTGCAGTGAATTGGGAATCTGTATATGTACTATTTACTACATATACAATGCACTGCAACAATAGATTTACAATTCTGCTAACATGAATGGGTTAAATGATCCGTAGTACAACTACATGTTATGTACTATTATGTACTATGGATCATTTAACCTATTCATGTTAGCATTGGATAATTGTAAATCTATTGTTGCAGTGCATTGTATATGTAGTAAATAGTACATATACAGATTCCCAATTCACTGCAGCAGTAGATTTACAATGATCCTCTGCTAACATGAATGGGTTAAATGATCCGTAGTACAGGGATACATATGGATCATTTAATCCATTCATGTTAGCAGAGGAGAATTGTAAATATATGGTCTCCAGTGTATTAGCAGTCTATACTCTATATGTACTACATATAGAGCAGGGCTCAAAATTTCCACTCGCCCCCTCGCAATTGGCGAGTGGAAATTGCGTAGGGGCGAGTGGAAATCCAGGGGGGGGGACTTCCGCCGCTTCGGCAGCGCCGATCGCTGTCTGTTTCCTCCACCTGCTTCTTGGAGCGGCACCGCAGCCTCCGACGGCTGGGCCGCTTCTCCCTCGGCCCTAGCCACGCCTCCTCGTACACCCGGCAGCTCGCTTTCAGGCCCCATTAGCGGCGCGCTGCCGGGTGTGCGAGGAGGCGTGGCCAGGGCCGAGAAGTCGGCGCTGGTCCGGTGACCCAGAGGTGCCGGCCAGCTAAATTAAGATCTCACCTGGATTGCCAATGTAATACTTTCGTTACGACCTGGATCTTAACAGCCTTTTTATAATGGACATTACACTCTCCACCATTTATATTTACCTGGGATCTGTACTCTGATCTTTTTCACTATTCCGAAGACCCACCCTATTGTTCACCCAGTTGATTTATCTGTATGTACTACAGCTCCACTTTTATGTAATGTACCGATTTATCTTTCTCCTTATCGGACTTTTGTACTTTTTTATTTGTATTTCCACAAAACTTCAATAAAATTATTGAACAGAAAAATGTAACTACTCTGACTGAGAAGAAGCCTCTACACCAGTGGTCCCCAACCTTTTTATCGCCGCGGACCGGTCAACGTTTGATAATTTTACAGTAAAGTCTGTGACACGGAGCTGGGCAGAGCAGAGTCGGGAGCGCTGCTTCGCCTGCGGCCCGGTACCATTTGATCCACGGACCGGTACAGGCCCGGGGGTTGGGGACCACTGCTCTACACCCATTGTGGTTAAATCTTTTCTCCACCAATTTTAGGTGGTGGCGGCTAGTCTTTGTTATGGCGTTTAATGTAAATAGTTTGTTGCCATCACCACTAAACATTTTGTACATCAAAATCATGTCCCCTCTTAATCTCCTCACCTCCAGCGTGAACAAGCCCAAATTTAGTAACCTTGTCTCATAGCTTTGATCCTCCAGCCCCTTAATTAGTTTAGTTGCCCTTCCCTGGACTTTCTCCAGCTCAAGGACATCCTTTCTGTAGACTGGTGACCAAAACTGAACCACATACTCCAGATGAGGCCGAAACAGTGATCCAAAAAGTGGCAAAATTATAGCTTTGTCTCTGCAGTACATTCCCTTTTTAATACAAGACAGTACTCTGCTCGCTTTGTTTGCAGCAGCCTGGCATTGCAAGCTATTATTCAATCTGTGGTCTACAATGACCCCCAAATCTTTTTCCATTTCTAACTAAGCGGGGAAAAAAGGGGAATGGTGTTATGTGGGGAGTGCCACACCCCTGATTTCAATTAGAAAAGAATGGAGTTATGGGGAGTGGGGGGTTTTAGGCACTCGAAACAGTGGTTCACAAAAAAAGTTTCTTTATATTAAAAAAATATCAATTTTATTCCATGCATGATTAAAAGTCATTCACTGTGTAAAAAAGTAAGGAGACAACCTAGGAGGATCACCTCCAATATCCACCGGAACCCCTTGAATAGTTGAGACTACATTAGAATGATTCATTTAGTTAATTTATACATAAAGTTCGCTTGTAGGTCGCACTTCCTACAGTATGATTGACACTATTTGATTGACCAAACTCGTGGTCTATGTTATTTATCTTCAATGTTGACGGGACCCAGATAATTTTTTTCTTTTAATGATATTTTGGGCCACCGATTCGAATCCAGTTAGACCTAGTGTGGTCCTTTAGGTATTTTCAAAAAAATATGCTTAATTTTGGCATGATCTAGAGTTGTTCCGTCAATTTATAGTGTCAACCATTGACATGATTAGTGCATTTCTATAACCTTGATATTTATAATAAGCGACAAAGGTTGTGTTTTATTCTATTGTCTTCTATTGTTTAGCTCAAGGAGTTTGAACTGGTAGGATATAACAACAACGCGTTTCGCGTGTCACAACGCTTCATCAGGTCTAGAGGTGCTCAGTCCTAGGTAGAGCAAATGGGTGCCCCCATAGGGCAATATTTCACGGTTGAAAATTTTTTAGGGTTTTTGAAATTCGCCCAGATAGTGGAATGAAACGGGGTAACCGCGTCTGTATGCTGAGCCGTTTAAAGATAGAGGCGTGGGCGCTATCTTGTGGTATTAAGCCCTACTTGCCTAGTTCGTCATTCCAGTCGCGGCCATCGCTGTATGACATAATATAGACCACGAGTTTGGTCAATCAAATAGTGTCAATCATACTGTAGGAAGTGCGACAGCCGGGTCATGCCCAGTCCCATCCACTAACCTCTCCACCCGTTCCGCAATGTGTCGATCGCGTTTACCCGTACCCCAGCTTCCTGATTGGCCGGGAAGCCAGCTCCATGCTCCTGTTGACGAGGGAACATGGAGTCGGCCGCCCGGCTTCCTAATCCTGGACGTTGCGGTATCAGGATACGTATCAAAAGCATTTGGGTTAATACGAGTACTCGCCCAAATAGTTGGTATTCGCACTAGTTTCAGTATCGTTGCATCCCTAGTGAGTATACCAAGGAAACTATTATTGAGCTTTTTAGGTGCACACAACCGAATAAATTACATCTCAAAAATGAGTAAATATATTAAATCGATTTTCCTTTATTAATGTGCTTCATTAAAGATGAATGTGTCACAACATGTAACTATAGTTATAATAGCAAAAGTAGAAAGTACCCACTATAAGGAGTAACGTGCCTATAGGAGGACACCAATCAGTAAGCTATTTACAACCAAAAGCAGTCAGAGCTAGTGTTCACAACAATACATTCTCAAACTGATGTTGTACAGCCATATACACTCATGATAATATCACAAAGGTATATATAAGTAGACTTAGTTGGAGATGGAAAGAGTGCTTTAAGGATGGCGTCCTCTCAATTGTTCAACGCGTTTCACCCCACATTGGTAGGGGGCTTCTTCAGGAGTTAGGCAGTTCACTCCTAAATTAAAAATTTAAACAAGGTAATTTATCTTTATAATATCATGGAGAAACAATATAAATAATACATTTCACAAAATTAAACTAATACCAGTAGCTAGATACTGCATATATCACCTCCAACGCTTCGCGTAGGGTAACAGACCTGGACTGGTTATCTGCTCTTTGGCTTGGTGTGCGGTGGAAGAGTATAAAGTCACTGGGATCTTGTGAGGCAGCCGCACCTACCTTGCCTGGCTTGTGCTATGAAACAGGTGCATTTGTGGCGTTTTGTTATACACTTTAATGGCGCTGTTTTTCCTGACACATGTATGTAAGACGCTTTACCTGTTTAGTCATTTATATCGAAAGCTCAGGTTTGAAGGGGCAACATTATAAATAAAGAGATTCTCCAAATTCAAATTCCTGTGCCCTCTTGTATTCCCATACAAAATATCTCCATCTGTTATGGGGGACAGGGGAAGGAGGGGAAGGTCCATGTAGTCCTATCACACTATCTGTCCTAGGCTGATAAAGATATAGATATAGTATGCTAAGTGAATGTTGTCACCCTAGGACAGGAAGTGGGTTACCTAGGATTATTGGGGGAAATAAAGGGAACAAAAGCCTGAGAAATGGAGCTACCACATCCAAGGTCTGGTAAGCTGCCATATATTACATTTTTCTTCATGAGTTTAGATTTTAACCCTTTCCCTGACATTATTATGTTGGCAGCTACGCCAGCATGCACATAGACTCCTGCACGCTATAGCAGCTGGGAGTTTGTTTACATTTTTACTGCCAACTTTCTAGTTGAAGTGATTCTCTTACAATGTTGGTAGTGTGCCACCCCACCACCATGTGTCCTGGGCTTGCCTGTCAGGATGGAGAACAATGGGAGATCAGAGAATGTCTGGTTTTGCCTTGATGGCATGAACCCGGAAGTGTTCAGAGCTAAGCACTTCTGGGTTCTTACTAGGGTTGTCAAACACCGATTTGTGTGCTCACCAGAGTGCAGAACTTATATTAGGGGTCTAATAGGATCCTGATGTTTACTTAAAGAGAACCTGTCAATTCTAATATGCTATCACATAGGGTTTTTTTTCCACAACTCAGCTGAATTTACCATTTGCAGGTTGTATTGTCAATTTTTCTTGTTTTTGTTTGCATGGTTTTTGTTGTATGTAAAAGCCTGGTGGAGGTGAGTATCAGTAGGTGTGTAGCCTATCAAGAGAAACTGTCACTTTACCCTGAATGGGAAAAGCAGCAGATTCTTAGTAACCACCTCCATAACGATGTATTGTAAAAAAAATTGGCGGGGAGGGCGGTGTCTATGTCTGAAATGGCGTGTATAAACATCATTCCAAAAATAGCCCTCGGACAGATCTTCCACCTGTCAAATTGTCCCTGGATGGCTTCATTCACAGGCTCTGTATACCGAGCCAATCCAAGCAGCTCTGTACCTTAAGATCCTCTCCTACACGACTGAACTCCACACTCTCTGTGACCTGCATATTAACCTCTTCACCTCCCTTGTCCTGCACAATAACCTTTCATCTCCATCCCCCCACTGCATGTGACCTGTACCTTAACCCCTTCACCTCCTTATCCCTTTGTGTATAACCTGTATACGCTCTATCTAGTGCCCCATTACCAAGCTCCACAGGGCTGCTTCAAATCCGCAATTTTCTAAGAGAAAGTAAGGGAAATATTTTTGTTTTCAAAATGTTAAAGCAAAAAAACCAAACAAACAGCAATTACTAAATAACACCAAAAGAAAGCTCTATCTGTTTGAAAAAATGATATAGAGTTAATTTTGGTACAGCGTTGCAGGACCCAGTAATTGTCAGTCAAACTATCCCAGCTCTGAAAGCTGCACAATGACCTGGTAATAATTATATACAGGCTCTCAAGTGGTTAATAAGGCTGAAGAAAAAGCAGTAAGTTCAACCCATGTAATGTTCCAGAATACGTCTGCCTCTCACTATCAGGAACAAGTAATAGTAGGAGCACACCACTTGATACTATGTAGGTTTACTGGTGATTGTTATCCTGACTCTAGTTCTCATTTCCATCTCCTGCAGGTCCAGCACTTTTCGGGTAGCTCAGGACAATGGAACTGACATAGCGCCAATATGTCAACATCTGACTGCGGCAGAGCCCTGATAAAACCGTGGAAATGATGTTTAATTCTAGCTGCGCTCAATTCACAGTAACATATCAGATGACTCAGGTCAGTATTGGGCATTCTGTGCCACACATGAAAATCACGTCCTATATTACATTTCATGACTTCCTCAATAACAGTAACCTTCTAGTGCAAGAGATAAAGTGTCTGTTTAACATAACATTCCTAGTATTCTGCTTGACCTTGCCGTGTTCAGTACATACCCACATTGTAGCAGCCTTGTTAAAGGGAACCAGACTGCACATATCATTTTGATATACCTCCTCTGTGCCAAGATAAAAAAAAAAAAAAAAGGAAGTCAGGTGTGAAGCAGCACAGTCATGGCAAGCACTAACTTGGCTGCTATACTTGGAAAAAAAACCCATATACACAAACACGTAGTATGCCTTTTGCTTTCGTCATACTCCCTTAAAGCTGAACTCCAGGCTGGATATTAAAAGAGCACAGGTTAATGCCATTATATATTATACTAAGTGTATTAACACAGTGACTTAGTGATTAGCACTTGCTGGCCTCCTTCTAAAAATTCTAGTTGCCCGGCTATGTCTAGTTTTAATGTTTCTGAGTTGCAGACCTGGAACAAGCCGATAGAGAAAAGGTAAGTTGCTAATTTCTATTCTTGTTCCAGGTAATTGAGTCTTGATAATAGTGAAGCCAGTTCATCAGTATGACAACCAGGCTACTCACATTTTCAAAAATTGAGGTCAGCTATGGGAGGCTATACATTTCTCACATGACAGGATACCTTTATTAATGTCTTAGAAATGTGCTTATTCATCAATATGGAGAATGCATTGACACTGCTTGACACCGTCATTCAACTTTGTAATGGTCATGGCAGTTTGGTAGGACCAGAAATTCTTAAGTAGTTACTTAGGTCTCCCAGAGATATCAGAGGACAGCATGTGATCATGCTTACCAGCCAACTATGCCATCCTGAATTAACAGATCGGGGAGATGTAAAGCTGATGAATCTCCATGGGCATGTATTGGCGTATCTAGGGAGCCCAGTCTATGACCGAGATACCCAACATACAACTTCCTGTATCTAATTCTATGTGAACATTTTAATCATTCTCTCCAACATTTTTTCCCAATGTTGTGACATTTATAACAAGAACAAAACATAAATGAAGTGTTAGAGAGATGTGATTGCCATAAGGAATGATATCTTGTATGTAATTTCTACTTTATAGTATTTTACATATTTTATAAGAGTATAATAAATGCCTAAGTGGCGCAATGCTGTGATGTGAACAGGCCCTTAAAGCTGAATTTCAGGGTACATGTAAAGAAATGCCTCCAATTGCCACCTGGGCGACACTGATCACTAAAAGGCCTCCTTTACACACATATATATATTTTTTTCCAATAAATTTTTATTGAGTTTAACAGTGCAAGTACACACAGACACGTTATAATGCCAACTGATGCCTGTGGTTTGCAGATCATATATATACAACTAGACAGATAAAACATAAAACGTATCACAGTAATGGAAAGGCACAGGATTGGTTCATAGGAAGTAGCATCAAAACCCATCTCAGCTGTTATCGTGTAAATTCGGTCATATCCTAGGCGTTGAAGGGTACACACATATATTTTATTGTAGGTTAACATTCTAAATCACATTGACATGAATGAATGGCGCTGCAATACACTTGTTAGAGTGTTGTATGTTACCAGGTGTGAAGATAACCTTGAACATTTGCCATTTCCAAATAGAACATTGTTGATTTGATTGATGATTTCCTCTTGATTTCACCTCTGTGGTCTAGGCACATAGGATTTTATTGTTAAATATATTTTTTTGTAAAACAAGTATTACAAAATAGAAGATTCAAAACAGTACCAAACAGGATGAGAACAATAAGTCCTCTATCATCAGGGGGAGAGCTCAAGCATTAAGCGGTGAAAAAGTACGCCATTAAAGAATTCGACAGCCCGTTGCGGAATCAAGCTCGTTGATAGAATAGTCTTACACACATAAATCTCACAACCAAAAACAGATGGACAATCCTATCAAGTCATATAAAACCTGAAGTAAAGGGAAGGAAAAGGAATAGGTAAACAGGTTAGAAAGAAAAAAGGGGGGCCAGAGGGTAAGGTAAGACCAGAAATAAAAAGACAGAGGAAGAAAGGAAAGAAAAGAAAGGAAAAGCTGTACGGGAGCTCTGGGGGAAGAAAATAAATGGATTAATGCCAAAATTGGCCTATAAGTTGTTTCTAAGACTATCGGAGGTAGAGAAATGTATCTATATAGCCCAGAGAGCTTAAAAAGCCTTAATATTTGTCAGCAGCAACAGCCAAAATCTCTTCCATGTGCATGTCATTCATACTATTAACCCAATGGGTAAGAGATGGGACCGTCGTAGTCTTCCAAAAATCAGGGATGACTTGACGGGCAGCAGAGGAAATAAACTGGAGAATAGAGCGTTTCTGTCTCTTTCGTGACCCCGGAAAAAATCGATAGAGACAAATTTCTGGCGAGGTGCGATAGTCCTACCATAAAGCTCAGAACCAATCTCAAATTATTTTGGCCATAAAAGGCAAAGGACAACTCCACCAAATGTGCAGGTAAGTTTCTCTCTCTTCTCACACCGTCAACAGAGATTCGGAGTGGATGGGGAAAATACGATATAAGAGGCAGGATCTCTATACCAACGAGACAAAACATCATTTTTCTCCTGTGTATAGCAGGACAGAGATGACTTATGAGTATAGTGAAAAGAGAGATCCCACTCTTCTTCTAAAAGATGCCTACCTAAGTCTCTATGCCACAAGTCAACAAATCCAAGAAGGCCAACGGTTCACCCCGAGGAAAGGAGTTAAAATTAAAAAAAGAAATCGTGTGGCGAGGGAAATCAGATTGCACACACAACTGCTCAAATGCTGTAAGAAGCCTGGTGATAGTACCGTGAGTTCGCAAAGATTCAGCAAAAACAGACAGTTGTGCCGATAACAGCCAATTACCGGTATCAGTAGGCCCAGTACTAGGATATTTAAACTGTCCTGTAGCAGCATCCACAAAATCTCTAGCATGAGGCTACTGGGAGCGATGGTAACCCCCCAGAGTCTCAGGCTGAATACCCACAGGTAGGGACGTGTTGTCAAATAACGGTGTCATGGGGCCGGGAGTGGAGGACAAACCATAACGAAGAAAATACCTCTCTGCCAAACCCTCAAAGAGTCCGTGGCAAAAGGCAAGTAGACTGCACTGATGAAGAATGGAACCAAGGGACAGAGCAAAGATCTAACGACGACATAGATTGTTCCAGAGCTACTGACCTCTTCTCTGGTGACCTGACACACTATGGAATTATGATATAAGGCAAAATCAGGCAGACAAACACCACCCATAGATTTAGATCGACGAAGAATATGGTAGCCGAGACGCAAAAGGCCACCACCCCATATGGCTCAGAAGCAAGAGGAACGCAACATCAGAATAAAACGCTTAGGTGGATTAATAGGAATGGTTTGAAAGAGGTAAAACAGCCTAGGAAGAATGTCCATTTTGAGGGAAAGACTCTTGCCAAACCGCAAATTGCGAGGAGATGACCAGCCCTCCAGGTCTTTACAAATCAAGGTCAACAATAGAACATAATTACAAGAGTTTAAATTTGATAATTTGGCAGAAAAAAACCCCCCCCC